TGAGGATTTCTTGTCTTTGCCCGTGTGCTCTGGGGTGGGGGTGGGCTTCTCCCAGGAAGCTTGGAGAAGGACAGGGAAGACAAGACTCCACCATGGAGCCATTCCTCATTGCATGGGGTCACGGGGTCACAGGAAACAGCACTGCGCACAATCAGCAGTTGATTTGGAACTAGATTCCACAGAATTGAGACTTACACAGACCCTCTACTCGTCAATACCATTAAGGGCCAATTCCCAAGAACATTTGCGTATCAGAAGAGATTTGATTGGAGGGAGAAGATCAAGTGCTCTTCTCATTGTTCTTTATTTATTGATCTGGTTTATTTGAAAGGCAGAGCAACAGAGACAGCAAGTGATCTTCCATGCTGGGGCTGGGCTGAAGCCAGGAGCCAGAAACTCTAACTGGATCGCCTATGTAGGTGGGAAGAACCCAAGTAACTGAGCCGTCAACTGCTGCTTTCCAGGGTGCACACCAGCAGTAAAGCCAACTGCCTGCGATGCCAGCATCTCCTGGGGGCACCAGGCTGACTCCTGGCTGCTCCACTTCTGACCCAGCGTCCTGCTAATGTGCCTGGGTAAGCAGCAGAGGACGGCCAAGTGCTTGGGTCCCTGCACCCACATGGGAGAGGCAGAAGCTCCTGGCTCCTGGCTTCAGATGGGCCCAGCTCTGGCAGTTACAACCATTTGGGGAATGAACCAGTGGAGTGAAGATCTCGTTCTCTCTCTCCTCCTCTGTAACTCTGCCTTTCAAACAAATAAATCTTTAAAACAAAACCGAGGGGGCAGGACTCAGTGCCAGGCACCAGGACGTGGGCTAGAAACATCCAAGCTGCGGCTCTAACTGCTGTGCCCTGTTTGCCTCGCTCTTGTAATGCCTTAGGGTCACGTTTGGTAATAACCCTCTAGGTGTCTAGGTGGGGAAGTGTTCCATCCCCGGCTCCCCTGGCCTCCCATTTGCGTTCCCGGGGTCAACTAGGAGCTGCTGGCAGCCGGAGGAGCTCGAGAGCACTGCCTGCGAGCTGGGAAGCCGCAGCACCAGGCAACGCAAACCAGACTGGGGCTCTCAACCCAAACACTGCGTCATTGCATAACTCCTGCTCGGAAGCCTATTTGGAGTAGTCGATTCCAGGACACAGGTCTGGGTTACCAACGCTGCTGGCTGGGAAGCTGCCAGAGCCCGCGGAGGCCGAAGGGCTCCTGCTATTCTGGGCTCCCTGCTCCGGGAGTTGGGCTTCACGGGCTGGGCCTCCTGGCACGCAGACAAGATGTTTCCTTCAGCACAAAAGCTGGGCTGGAGCTGCAGCTGACCTGCTCCTCCTGACGAGTTCTGACAGCTGAGCTACAGTGAGGACCATGGAGGGCTTGGCATCTATGCCAGGCCGCCTTCTCCTGAGATCCAGCGTCAGAAGTCATGACTGGTCTCTGGGTCTTGAGCCCTCTCTGCTCTGCGGGATGAGGGGCTCAGAGATCAACAGTGGAAGCGGAAGGGACAACGAACGGGAAACTGCAGCCTCTGCTGTGGCTGGGGACTGGGGAGGAAAAGTTCCAAGGAGCAGGGTGAGAGAGCCGGAGTCTCAGGAGGACCAGGGAGGGGTGCAGTGAGGGAGCGGCAGGGGAGAGGTCGCCGTAGTTAGGAGGCTCTGCCCCAGCCCTTGGCCTCAGGCCTTCTGTTGCTATTCCAGTTGGCAGTCACGGACAGGCGTGGGGCCCGACAAGGCACAGGCACACCCTCCCAGCTGAGCCCCAGAAAGATCAAACAAAACACTTTTTCTCCAAACTTCTCACCAGTCCCACCAACCCAAGGACACTTCAGAAAAACTCATGGAATACAGAATTTCAGATTTGGTGCACATACATTTTGAAATGCATGCATAGCTTTTTCATAATATCTTTTCCATGAGTTTTTTAAGATCCATCATACGAATGGATTTTCCTCTTCCAATCTATCTCTCTGCTTATGGCCTGGGAAAGCAGTGGAAGACAGTCCAAGCTCTTGGGTCGCTGTACCCACTTTGGAGACCTAAGAAGCTCCTGGCTCCTGGCTTCAGACTGGCCCGGCTCCAGCCATTGGGGCCACCTGAGTGAGCCAGTGGATGGAAGACCTTTCTGTCTCTCCTTCTGTCTATAACCGTGCCTCTCAAGTAAATAAAATCTTAAAAAAATACTATTTAAAACATGTTTTCACATCAAAATAAATTTATCTTTTACATTTAAAAAAAGATTTATTAAATTGAAAGGCAGAGTTATAGGGAGAGAGAAGCAGAGACAGATCTTCCATCTGCTGGACCACTCCTCAAATGCCTACACAGCGAGGCTGGGCCAGGCTGAGGTGAGGAGCCAGGAACTCCATCCAGGTCTCCCTCGACCCCGCCATCATGGCTGCCTATCAGGGTGCACATTCGTAGGAAGCTGGAATAGGGCGGCACCAGGACTCAAATCCAGGCATTTGGATAAAGGAGGAAAGAATCGTAACCTCGAGCCCAAAACCTGCCTCTTGACAGATTTTTAAACTCTCTCTGTGCATGCATGCAAAGAAACTGATCAACGATGGAACAAATATAAGCAGTTCCAAAGAGTAAACATGATTACTTGTCTTCCTCGGCCTTATTCCATCACTGGATGCAAACTCATCCATTTGTGTATCCCTTCAAAAGCAGAGAAATGTATCACTATAATGCACAAACAGACATCACATCCACACACTCATATCTGACTCACAGCATCCCTTTTAATGTTTGAATATGGAGTGATTCACAACTTCACAGAGACCTGCCTACTCTACAATCCACGGCTCCGTGGGACAGATGTTTTACAACCGATTTAGCCACTTGCCCATGTATGGATTTAGCTTTATTGGTAGGTTATTGCTAACGGAAACAACAAATTAGAAATCCTAGTGCCGTCAGTGAATTAAACACACAAAGGATACAGCCTTGCAGGCCCCAGTGCTGCGGCTCAGTGGGTTAAAGCCCTGGCCTCCAACACCATCCTGGCCGCTCCACTTCCCATCCAACTCCTTGCCAACACGTCTGAGAAAGCGGCGAAGGTTGGCTCAAGTGCTTGGGGCCCTGCTGCCCCGTGGGAGATCCAGAAGCAGCTCTGGCTCCTGGCTCAGTCCTGGTTGTTTGGGCCATCTGGGGAGTGAACCAGGCTCCTGGCTTCTGCCTGGTACGGCACCGCCACTGGAGGCCATCTGGTGTGTGAATGGGCACTCTCCATCTCTCCTCTGTAACTCTGCCTTTCAAAAAAATAAACCTTTAAAAAGCACACCGCTTGCCTGTAACTTTTACATACTCTAATCGTAGGACAGAACCCATTCTGTTCTTTGCTTCTATAGTTATTTCTCTTACTTTTTCACTCTGCTCCCCCACCTCTGTCTTCCCACCTTTTCCTCCTGGTGAATTTTCAAAGACTGGGGCCCGTGCTGTGGTGCAGGGGCTACATCTCAGCCTGTGGCACTGGCATCCCATGTGGACGCCAGTTCATGTCCTGGCTGCTCCTCTTTTGATCCAGCTCCCTGCTAATGTGCGTGGGAAAGCAGCGGAAGACGGCCCGAGTGCTTAGACCCCGGCTGCAAGGACAGGAGACCCAGAAGAAGCTCCTGGCTCTGGATTGGCCCAGCTCTGGCCATTGAGGCCATCTGGGAAAAGAACCAGCAGATGAAAGACCTCTTCCGTCTCTCTCCCTCTGTATCTCTACCTCTCAATTAAATAAAATCTTTAAAAAAAAAAAAACACTTAAAACTGTTCTTACATCAAAATAAACTTATCTTTCACATTTTAAAAAAGATTTATTGTGGCATTGCAGTGCCAGCATCCCATGCGGGCGCCGGTTTGAGTCCCGGCTGCTCCACTTCCGATCCAGCTCCCTGCCGACGGCCTGAGAAAAGCAGTGGAAAATGGTCCAAGTGCTTGGCCCTGCCACCCAGCAGGAGACTCAGATGAAGCTGCTGGCTTGGTTTGGACCAGTGCTGTGGCCACCTGGGGCGCTAACGAGCAGGTGGAAGATTGTGTCTGTAATAAACAAATCTTTAAAAAATAAGAGTATTACTCTGAAAGGCAGAGCTACAGAGAGAAGTTAGAGGTTAGGAGAGGGAGAACGCGGACGCCACGAGTTTTTTCTGGGTCCCCGACGTGAGCGCAGGGGCCCGAGCACTTGGGTCACCGTCCAGTTTCCTTGACCACAGCAGGGAGCTGGAGGGGAAGCGAGCAGCCGGGGCGGGCACCGGGCACTCCCCTGCGGCGTGCCGCTATCAGGCAGCGGCTTAACCCACGGCGCGCGACACGGGCCGTGGTGAACCAGTTCCCCCCGGCGGCCGAGCACCGCCATGGCGTGACCAAGATGGCGGCGGGGTGTGGCGCCAGGTCTCGTCACCCTGGTCAACTTCCCGCCGCGGGCCTGTGTCTAGGCGGTCACTTCCCGCACGCGAATGCGGGGTCAGCACTGCAGAAGCCGGGGAGGGGCCGCCAGACCCGGGCCAGCGCCCACCCGGCCCCGCGCGCCCACCCGGCCCCGAGCGCCCCGACCCGAGACCCCGCCTCCTGCGGCCGGGACCCGGAGCTCCGCCCCCCGCCGGAGACCCGGATGCGGAAGCCGGCTCCCGGCGGCCATCTTTCCTCTTAAGGAAGCATCTAAGTGGATTAAACACACTCCTAACTCGCGACCCACGAGGCTCATTTTCCCTGCAGGCCTCACCACAAACAGTCCAGGCTTTGCCCGGAAAAGCGCCCGGAGCCCTGGCCTCCCCCGCGTCGCTCGCCTAGCGGCTGTGGCTCTATCCATCCCTGACCTCACGGACGCGGCAGGGCGGCGGCCGGGCAACCTTGACCCCTCACCCCGGCTTGGTCCTAAGTCAGGCCCTCCGGCCGAGGGTGAATCCCGCTGCTCCGGTTCCTCAGCCTCCCTGACAGCACGTGCTCACGCGAACGCCGGGACTCCGGGACCGTCAGAAAACGGCGCCCGGCTCGCTCGGCCGAGGGACGGTCAGAGCTGACCAATCAGCGCGCGGCGAGGGGCCGCGGGGCCGCCTTCGGGGCGCGCATGCGCACTGTCCCGGCTCGGGCGATGAGCGGCACCCGGGCCTTGGGCCGCGTCGGGGGCGGCTGGCGGCGATGGACAGGGGCGCGCGCGGCGACCCGGGATGCAGGCTTTGGCGCCGAGGCCCGGTGATTGCCACAGACCCTGCTCTGTGTAGGAGGGAGGCTGGGGCGGGGTCGCGATCGTGTGTCCCGGCTCGCCCCGAGTCTCGGCTGCGAAGTGCGGCCCCGCGGGACGGGGACACGCGGGGAGCTCGGCCCGGCGCTCGGGGTGCGCGTCAGAGGCGGCAGGCGCGGGAGGGCCGGGACGCGGGCATCGGGGGAGGTGAGCGACGCCCCTGCCGCTCAGCCGCATCCTTTGCAGGTCGCGGCCGCCTGGGGACCAGCCTTTCCCGGGCCTGCTGCCGTCCGAGACCCTCAGCCGGGAGCAGCTGGTGGACGTGCTGAGGGCGGCCGTGGTGGACCGGAAAGGTGAGGCTGCAGGCACAGGTCGCAGCCTGGCTGTGCCTCCGCATCCTGGGGCGTTGGAGGGGCGGTAAGAGGGCAAAGAGTGCAGAGTGTGGAGAGCCTTGCACGCGGCTGGCACTCCCGAATTGCAATCGCTGTAATAGTCACGCAGTTTATTGATGCAGAAAACACGAGCTTTAGGGCCTGGTGCTGGGAAGGAGCCAGTAAAGCGCGAGTTCGCGTCCCGGCTGCTCCACTTCCGATCCAGCTCTCTGCTGTGGCCTGGGAAAGCTGCAGAGAGTGGTCCAAGTGCTTGGGACCCTGCACCCATGTGGGAGACCCGGAAGCTCCTGGCTCCTGGCTTCGGATTGGCCCAGCCAGTTTGGGCAATGAGCCAATGGATGGAAGTACTCACTTTTTCAAATAAATAAATCTTAAAAAACAAACAGGATTTGCACATTTATTATTGATGATTCTGCGTTTTAGATTTGAAATGCAGAGTGATGGGGGTGGGGGGAGATGCTCTTTCGTTTGCTGGTTTACTCCCCAGTTGTCAGTAATGGCTTGGGCTAAGCCAGGACAAAGCTAGGAGCCAGAAACTCCATCCTGGTCTCATACGTGGGTGGCAGGGTCCCAAGTACTTGAGCCACCTTCTGCTTTTCCATGCACACTGGCAGGAGGCTGGGACTTGAACCCACACTCCTATGTGGGGTCCCACATTGCAGGCAGCAGCTTAACCTGCTGTGCCACAACGCCAGCCCCGCGTACATTCAGGGGTCAGCTTGCTGTGTGGCTTCAGGGAAACCGATTTCCTCATTTGGTGCCTTGCTCATTTCCTCAGGTGCTGATCATGGGCTGTGTTCACGGCAGGCCACGCCGTGCTGAGAGCGCTGTGGGTCCCACCCTCAGGGAGCCCGCGTGCTAGTGGGAGCAGGGTTACTCAGAAACTAAGTGAGGGAGTGACCAGTGGTCACCGGGCTGTTACGGAGACATGGCTGTATGGGGTCACGGCCTTAGTCTGGGGAGCCAGGCTGCTCTGTGTCGTGACGTGACAGGCCTCAGGATCCGGGACAGGGCACAGCACGTGCAGAGGCCTCGGTGGCAGTGGGCTTGGAGCATGTGCGGGCCCAGCACTCACGTCTGCGGGTCCTTTTGGGACCGAGCGCTAACGTGCACCCTGGCGTCTGCATTTGGTGTTCATGTTGTTTCAGGACCTCTGGTGACACTCAACAAGCCACAGGGTCTGCCGGTGACAGGTACGGCCAGGGCGCACGGGAAGGGCATGCAGGGAGAGGGGTTTGCGTGTCTGAGGGGGCGCAGGGCAGAGGAGGGGAGCTGTGGGACGGAGCTTGGGCCTATGGGAGCACCTTGCACCTTCCCGTCTCTTTTTCCAGGAAAACCAGGAGAGCTGACATTGCACTCGGTGCTGCCAGAGCTGAGCAGGTCCCTGGGGCTTGGGGAGTCGGAATTCCAGGTCGTCCAAGCGCCTGGGAAGTGAGTGGGGGTGACAGGAGGGTGGGGCGGGCTGAGACCTGCGGTCAGTGGACCTGAGCGTCAGCTCTGTGAAGCGCGGAACGTGGATACCACACTGTGCTCGCTGTGCAGTCGTCACGCAGGCATTATTAGCCGATCCTCGGTGTTCCGTCTGCCCTCAGAGATGGCGTTGGAGAAGTATCTGGAATTCTGCAGACTCACCTGCGTGTTTGCAGGGATCTGACTGAGTTCACACAGATCAGTTTCCTGGGCGAATGTCTGCTTCATGGTAGACACGCAGCACTTGGTGCTCGGTGTTGGAGCACGGGCTCTGAGCTCCGAGCTCCCTGGGGGCCAGGGAGAACGGGCAGCACGGTCAGCTACGTAGCCTTGTTGGTCAGGAGGACGTCTGGCCTATGGTCCTGGCGTTACTGTTTGGCCTTCGGTCAGTGTTCCTGCTTGGGGTCTCATGGCTGGGGCTGAGCCCAGGGGAATTTGTGTGACTGGCCCCCTTCCTCCAGGGAGATCTCTGGGCTTGTACTCCTCTCCAGCTGTGCCCAGACAGCAAGCCGCCTGCACGAGTTCTTCACGCACTCACGGAGAGCCCACAGACCCACAGCCACCTACTGGTGAGAGGTGCTGGCAGTCCCAGGGCCGTGGGGAGGGTTCCGGGAGCAGCTTGGAGACCTCCTCCCGCCTCTTTCCCAGGGCCGTCACTGATGGGATCCCAGCCACACCCGAGGGAGAGATCCAGGCAGCGCTGAAGCTGGAGCGCGCTGACGGGGTTGATCTCGTGAGTGAGCACGTGGGCAGCGAGGAGGGGTCCTTCGAGATGTCTTGCACTGACAAGCAGGCAGGGAAGAGGAGGGGTCCCCCCAGGTGTATCACACTCACAGGGAAGAGGGGGACCCCAGGTGGATCACACAGGGAAGAGGAGGGGCCCCCAGGTGTATCACACTCACAGGGAAGAGGAGGGCCCCCAAGGTGTATCACACTCACAGGGAAGAGGGGGGCCCCAGGTGTATCACACTCACAGGGAAGAGGGGGGCCCCAGGTGTATCACACTCACAGGGAAGGGGGGCCCCAGGTGTACCACACTCACAGGGAGGAGGGGGGCCCCAGGTGTATCACACTCACAGGGAGGAGGGGGGCCCCAGGTGTATCACACTCACAGGGAAGGGGGGCCCCAGGTGTACCACACAGGGAAGGGGGGCCCCAGGTGTACCACACTGACAAGCAGTCAGGGGCTGGTCCGGGAGGCCGCCTCTCCGTCCCCTCAGGCGGGCAGGTGTTGGGAAGGGAAGATCAGGGTGAAGCCGCCTCAGCTTGGCTGGCACCACAGGTCCTTCCCGTGAAGCCCCCATCCCGGAGGGACGTCCTGGCAAGTGTCAAGAGGACCCTCAGCCACTTCCGCGTGGTGGCCACAGGCTCTGGCTGTGCCCTCGTCCAGCTGCAGCCTCTGACAGGTGGGTGGAGCCCCAGCCAGTGCTGGAGCAGAACTTGGCTGGGCGGCCAGGGGGAGATCTGACGGACTCCAAGGGCGCAGGCGACCAGGCCCACGGAACCTAGCAACGGGGTGGTGCTTCTCCAAAGGAAAGGGCAGGCACGGTTCTGTGGGCCCTCCACCCTGTCTCTCCTGCTGCCCAGGCTTCCCCAGGCAGCTGCAGGTGCACATGACGCTCCAGCTCTGCCCTGTGCTCGGGGACCACGTGCACTCGGCCCGCGTGGGCACCGTCCTAGGCCAGCGCTTTCTGCTGCCAGCTGAGAGCACCAAGCCCCAGACACAGGTAGGGACTCCCACTTGCCTGCACCGCCGGGGCTGGGGCTGGGGGCAGCCCTCTGGGTTGCCAAGGCTGGCTGTGCTCCTGTTCTGCCTTGTGACCTCGGGCGAGTGACACTGCTCTAGGGGGATTCACTCCGCCCATCTGTTCAGTCGGTGACTGGTTGCTGGCACCCTTCTCCTTCTGCCACGCTGTGAATCTGGGATTCCTCTGCTCAAACAGGACCAGAGTCTCAACACTGTCACTTCCCTCTCATGTCAAATGCAATGAATGGGCGTGGGTTTTGCTCCAAGCAGTTACTGGGAGACATGGGCTGTTGCTGACCCAGCGAGATGAGGGGAGACACTGTAGGTAGGTTCACGTGGAGGGGGGCTTTACGGCCTGGAAGTGGCCCGCAGTCTTTGGCTCACGTTCCGTTGGCTCAGTCACACATCACATGTGCCCAGGATGTGACCAGCAAACCCCTGGCCACAGTGGGAGTGCCCGTGTGCGTGAGTATGTGAGAGAGAAGCGGGAAATGAAGGAGTAGAAGCTCAGGCCATGGAGGGAGGGAGGGAGTGGAAGGCTCACCCCCAATTCTGCTGGAGCGGGGTGCCATCCTGGCTGGAACTCCTACTCAAGTCGCCCTGCCTCGCCCACCCCAGGTCCTGGATGGAGCTCTCCTCCGACGCCTCCAGCTGACCCCCTCTCAGGCTGCCCAGCTGCCTCTGCACCTGCACCTACGCCGTCTCCTCCTCCCGGGCACGAGGCCTGGGGATGCCCCCACCCAGCTTCTGGCCCCCCCGCCGCCCTATTTCTCCAGGACGCTGCAGTGCCTGGGGCTCTGCCAGCAGCAGTCCCTCCTCTGCTCCTGATGCCCCTGGGGGTGGGCCTGGGGCTACGGCCAGGCTGCAGGATGGCATGCACTGAGGCCCTGGGCTCCCAGGTCCTCCAAACCCAAGGTCAGAGCCGGGCCATCTCCCTGGCCTTGAGATAATCCAAGTTCCTACCTCGTGGTATGCTGTTGAGGGTTTGCTGCAGGGTTGGTCACGGACCACGCATTCTGCCACACTGGAATGCCTTTTTCAGTGGTTTCTCCTGATCCTGGTCGGGAGGAGGTATTAGATAAAAATAAAAATAGTGGTAAAATACACAAAACTTTACCACATTCTCATGCGAACACCACATCCACCTGCAGAAATGTTGTCTTGCAGAGCTAAAACGCTGCCTGTTAAAACACTGACTCCCCATTACCCCTGCCCAATCCCTTCTGTCTCTGTGAAATTGAGTGGTCTAGGTACCTGGTAAGCAGAGACAGTAGGTATTTTACTTTTTAAAACACATGTGAAACAGGCATTTGGAGCAGTGGTTGGCACACAGCTCGTATCAGAGTCCCTGGGCTCAAGTTCTTGTTCCGATCCCACCTCCAGCTAATACGCACCCTGGGAGGCTGGCTCCAGAACTTGGGTTCTCACCACCCAGGTGGGAGGCTGGAGTGAACTGCTGGCTGCTGTCGGGCATGCAACTGCCCTGACTGTTGAAGAAACTGGGAGTGAACCAACAAACTGAAGGTCTCTCTTGGCCTTTCCAATAATGTTTTGTAAAAACAACTATATGAGACTAACTGCGCTAAAACATTTCTGTGATTTAAAGAATAATGATATGGGGCTGGTAGTGTGGCACTTGCAATCCAGCTCCCTGCTAATGCACATGGGAAGGCAGTGGAAGATGGCCCAAGTACTTGGGCCCCTGCACCGCATGGGAGACCCAGATGACGCTCCTGGCTTCAGCCTGGCCCAGCTCAGGCCCTTGTGCCATTCCAGGAATGAACCAGCAGATGGAAAGAGCTCTCTTCTTTGTTTTCTTTTTCTCTTCTTCTTCTTTTTTTTTTTTTTTTTTTTTGACAGGCAGTTAGAGACAGAGGGAAAGGTCTTCCTTCCGTTGGTTCACCCCCCAAATGGCCACTATGGCTGGCGCTGTGCCTATCCGAAGCCAGGAGCCAGGTGCTTCTTCCTGGTCTCCCATGCTGTGCAGGGCCCAAGCACTTGGGCCATCCTCCACTGCCTTCCCAGGGTACAGCAGAGAGCTGGACTGGAAGAAGAGCAACCGGGACAGAATCCGGTGCCCCAACGGGGACTAGAACCTGGGGTACTAGCGCCACAGGTGGAGGATTTAGTCTAGTGCTGCTGGCCAAGAGTTCTTTTTCAACATTTCTCCATAACTCTGCCTTTCAAATAAATAAAAATAAGCCTTATGAAAAAACACCTGGAAATACATACTCTCATTTTTCGAGGCCTGAAGTCCAAAGTCAAGGCTGCAACAGGACCACTTCCCACAGGAGGCTCCTGGGAGAATCTAGGATTTTCTGGTGACTCCTTGCATCCCTGGGCTTGCATGGCTCCCACCTTGGCCCCCATCTTCATCTGGCCTTTGACAGCGCTGAGAATATTCTACCCTGGCCCACTGGCCTGGAAACCAGCCGGTGCAAAAGGACTGCTTGACCATGGCACTGTTTCTTGGAAGCAGGAGATGAGGTTCCGTGGGAGTGGCTCATCCCGCGCCGGGAGGGGACGTCAGCTTGTCCCGTGTCTGAAGCCTCCACAGGTGGCTGCTCCCTCACACTGCACACGCAGTCTGCTCCATACGCGCCCGACTCAGCCTCTCGGCTCATCTTTTACCAGGACTCCGTGCTGCCTAAAGCTGAAGTAATTCCCTGTGCGCCGCTCTCCTGCTAAGCTGTTGTTTGTAAGTTAATTTTCCAGCCAGCCAGGCCCCTAGGAAGATGAGAGCAGTCTCTCCGTCCCACACCTCGCGACTTCTCTTCTGACTCCCGTAAGGGCCCTGCCGTCGCACTGAGAGCCTGCCCACGTCATCCAGGATGACCTCCGAGGTCCATCCTTTGACTTTCTCCTGAGGGCAGAGGCCAGGCTCCAGGCACAGGCCGTCTCGGGGACCACCACTGAACAGACAACTGGAAAATGTTACTGTTTCCCACAAGGATGTGGTCTGTTGGCTATTTTAGGGACAGTGGCTGCTGGCTGAGCAATGGAAGGCCTGCCCTCTTCCCCTGTGCCTCCCGCTGTGAGTGTTCCCACGCCCACACAGTGTGATGCTGCTGTCAGCCCATCTCATCCGTCCCCTGGGGCTGGGGACTTGACCTCTGACTGTTCTGGAAGTGCGTCCCTGCCTCCCGCTCACTGCCACACGGTCGTGGGCAAGCCCCGTCTCCCTCCAGACTGTCTCCTCTAACATGGAGGTTCCCCCTCTGCCCCCTGCAAATCCAAGAGGGAGGCCCGGGTCCGTCACTCGGTGGGAGCTGTGGGCCTTACGCGAGGGAGAGCTGCTGAGTTGGCCCAGCTCTTGCTCTGACCCTGGGGAAGAGAGCGGAGCCCCCTGCTCCTCACCCCCCCCGACAGCAGCAGAGCCGAGCCCCCTGCTCCTCGCCCCCCAACAGCAGCAGAGCCGAGCCCCCTGCTCCTCGCCCCCCAACAGCAGCAGAGCCGAGCCCGCAGCACTTCACCTGCTCCTTTTATTTGGCACTGGACCCAGGACGGGGGGCAAGTGGGATCAAAGCAGGGGCTTCCCTAGCCGCATATCTCCCATGCCCCTCAGCCCCCCGAAGGTGTCGATAAGGGACAGGGGTTCTGGGAGGCCTAGCTGCTTCATGGGGCACGCCTTGGCCTTGGATTTGTCACCGCGTCTGGCCTGGACCTTCCTGTGGGTGTCAGGGAGGGCTCCGACGTCAAACGGCAGATGCCACAAGGCCCTTCCAGGACGGGGGCTCTGAAGGTGCCGGGGAGCAGCAGCCTCGGTGTGAAAGGAGGGAAGAGAGGGAGAGGATCAGGAATCCGTCTGGAGAGCGGCCCTCCGACCCTGCCCGGGGGCCCGGCACTGCCCACCAGGGGCAGTCACCGTTCAAGGCCCACCTTTGTTGGCTTCAGGACGCCGGGTGCCAGCTTGAGCTCAGGGTTGGGTGGGAGGGAAATGAAAACCTTGGCCGTAGGTAGAGTCATCAGGGCCTTGCCTGTGGTCGACAGGGCCTTAGAGCCCAACAGCTTGTGGGGGTGCAGCCTGAGACCCCGCCCCTGGGGCCAGAGCCCAGGGGGAGAAGGCAGCCGGGCCTGGATGTGAAGGCTGGGGAGGTGGTAAGGGGCTGTGGGAGCAAGGGAAGCTCTGAGGAGGGCTGGGAGGCCCCGGGCTGACCAGCTGCCCCAGAAGGAGGGTGTGGAAGGCGGGGCAGAGGGAGGGGCGAGCGCAGAGCCCTCCCGGGTCCTTCTCCAGAGACAAGGGAAGAACACAGGGTTTGGAGTCCAACAGACCTGGGTCTGCATCCCAGCTCTGCCCCTTCTGAGCTGTGCAACCTCGGGTAACTTCCTTAAACTTCCTGATCCCTCAGCTGGAAAACGGGAGTAGCAGCACCCACCTTGCTGGGCTGCTGGGAGGACAAAGGAGGCTGGCTGGGTGGGGGCAGCGTGGCTGCTAGGTGCTCGACCAGTACCAGTTCCCTCCCTGAGGAAGGGCAGTGCCCCGGGGAGACGAGCTTGGGCTGGGGAGAGTGCAGTCTGCACTGAGTCCTGGCTCCTGTGTAACCGCCTGGGGGTGCCCGGGCTGGAGGGACACTGCTCATCTGGCTGCTGGAAATATCTAGAAAGCAGGCTCTGCGAGTGGTGGCTTTTACTTCTTACTGCTGGCTCTTTGGCAGGGGCAGGGCTTGGACAGCAGGACACTGGGGTGTGTGGGGAGCACGGTCTTACCCAGGGCCTGGGGGTTCTTCGGACTCAATGGCAATCTGTCCAGGGGGTGGGGTTGCCTGTCTCCACTACCAAAGGTCATGGTGAAAATGCAGCCCATCCTGGAGCCGGAGGGGTCCCACTTCCGGAGCCGGGGGCGGGCCAGGGCGGCGGCACTTTTCGCCTTGCCTTTCTTCCCCTTTCCGGGGGCCGTGGTGGTGGACATGCTGTCCGGCTTCTCCCTGTGTCCCTGGCTTCTGGGCCCAGCAGCGTTCCTAGAAGAGTCCTTGCCTTCCCCAGCGCCTCGCTGAGTCGGCAGGTGAGGGAGGGCCGGGCGGGCCCTGACCCGCCGGTGACACATCGCCAGGGGCTTCTTGATGGTGCAGCCTTCCACCAGGAGCCGGGTCCCCACATACTGGGGCACCTCCACGACGGGCTGTGGGCAAGCAGACGAGACGAGGCCCGCTCAGACCGGCGCACCGGCACTGCACCGCCCGGCAGGACTCAGGGCAGAAATGAGCACAGAAGTTTTCTGAAGCAGCCGGGCCGAGGCACAGGGAGGTGCCAGCCCCGGAGACCCACTGCGGCACCCAGTCACAGAGCCCCAAGGGCTGCTTGAGCGGGATGAACGGCGCAGTCCTGGCCAGCCGCCCCCGGCACCTTCCTTCCCACCGCCCTCCCAAGTGCCTGTGGCTCGGTGCCGAGGGCCAGCTTCCTGCACAGAAGCTCAGTAAGGATGCCAGACAGGTCAGGGGCTTGGGGTCCTTGGAGTGACGGCTGAGCCCAAGCCACAGCGAGCAGAGGCTGAGGGCTTTTAAAGAAGGCAGCGTGCAGACAGCGAGCAGCTGACTGGCGGGGCAGAGGGAAATGTCCCCTACCGTCTAAAGTTCCCCTAAGCCGGCCGGGTTCCAGGAGCGGCTACTGGGCCTCGCTAGCAGCCTCCTTCAGGCCTGGGGCCCTCCTGAGGGGTCTACAGTGTCAGCAGGGGCTCCTGACTGAATTCTCTCTAAACACCACAACACCGGGGAGCTGGTTACAAACCCGGCTGCGTGCGCACCCCAGAACCCCAGCTCACCTGTGCAGAAGGGTCTCAACCAACAGAGAAGGTACCTACAGAATTAGAACCTTACTGTCTGAACAGGCAGGAACCAAAACTGTCTATCAAAACAACCAAGTGAAAAGCATGGCAGGACACTGTAATTTGCATAAGGCCTAAATCTCACCTTACAGTGTCATTAAAAGTTGCAAAGGGAAGGGTGCAGCTTATCACGGTGAGATCTGGCAGCTGCTGCCTTAGCCCACAGTCAGGTTTCACACCAGTAATCAGGAGACACTCTAACGAAAAACATCCAATCCGAATCCCAGCAAGCTGTCTGACCTAGCATCTACATTACAGGACATCCAGACAACACAAGACCAAGTGCAACACCACCACCAAGAACCAATCGCATCAGTGCAGAGCATGGGACCGTTCTACAAACAACTGCTGGGTCCCTTCCAAGACCCGAGCAGTGGAGAACGCTCCAGAGGCGTCCCAGATTCGGACGACGAGAGACCAACCAGGGCTGGGTGTGCGCCTTGATTCATGCCGGCCTAACAATGAAAGCCAATCAGCAATGGAGGCCGACAGAGGACAACTGGTCATGGGATAAGGCAGGTGCCCAGGCCACAGAACAACCTCTGGGGCAGGGGCCCCTGGCAGCCATGCCTCTGCAAGGAGACCTCTGCACCACAGTGGGACCCTTCCCCGGCTCTGCCATCATCCCACGTGGGCGCCGGTTCATGCCCACTTCCAGCCCAGCTCCCTGCTGATGGCCTGGGAAAAGCAGTGGAAAATGACCCAAGTGCTAAGCCTCCTGCCATCCACACGGGAGACCCAGATGAAGCTCCTGGCTCCTGGCTTTGGCCTAGCCATTGCGGTCATCTGGAGAGTGAACCTGTGGATTGAAGATCTCTCTCTGTATCTTGCTTCCTTTTCTCCATAACTCTTTCAAATAAATAAATAAAATCTTAAATAAAATGTTATAAGTAACTGTCACAAAGAGGAGGCCACTAAGGTCACGTGGTCAGCCAGCCCCTCCCTGCAGCCGACCTCAACAGAAGCTGAGTGCTACTGCCATGGGGGAAACCCCCAGCAGGGCGCAGCCCCCTGCCCTGAGCAGCCGCAGATGGGTAGGGGAGGAGGTCAGGGTGGGTTTGCCTACAGAGCGCGCAGATATTCTCAGTGTGCCTCCAGGGCACAGACCCCTCAATGCACCAATGTGAGGAGATCACCTCCAGGGATAAGACCCCCAGGCACAGCCACAGGGAGACACCTCCAGGGTGCAGACCCCTCACTGCACAGCCACAGGGAGACACCTCCAGAGAGCAGACCCCTCACTGCACAGCCACAGGGGGACACCTCCAGGGCGCAGACCCCTCACTGCACAGCCACACGGAGACACCTCCAGGGCGCAGACCCCTCACTGCACAGCCACAGGGAGACAGCTCCAGGGCGCAGACCCCTCACTGCACAGCCACAGGGAGACACCTCCAGGGCACAGACCCCTCACTGCACAGCCACAGGGAGACAGCTCCAGGGCGCAGACCCCTCACTGCACAGCCACAGGGAGACACCTCCAGGGCGCAGACCCCTCACTGCACAGCCACAGGGAGACAGCTCCAGGGCGTAGACCCCTCCTCATGTAGCTTTCAATCTCTTTCTGGGAAGAGCGTGGAAGCAGCAGCAGTACAACACAGCAGCCACCACCAAGCTGACCTTTACTGCACATCCCGGCACTGGACAAGCGGTCTTTTATATGAACATGCTAGCACGCTTAGTGTGATAAACACAACGGCCAACCCTGCGTCACAGTGACCAGGTACCAGGGACTATGGACTCCATTACATCCATCCCTGAATCCTCACAGCTTAGGAGGTAGGCACTATTTTATTACTGCTCTACAGAGGGAAGCTGAAACCCCTCATGTCTGGGTCCAAAGTCTCAGGGTCGCAGCCACGGCTCAGGGGCTGGCTGTGCATTTTCTTTTTAAAAAGATTTGTTTGTTTGTTTATTATTTTATTTATTTACAGATAGAGTTAGTGAGAGAGAGATAGACAGAGACAGAGAGAAAGGTCTTCCTTCCATTGGTTCACCCCCAAAATGGTCACTACAGCTGGCGTGCTGCGCCAATCCGAAGCCAGAAGCCTGGAGCTTCCTCCTGGTCTCCCATGCGGGTGCAGGGCCCAAGCACCTGGGCCATCCTCCACTGCCCTCCGGGGCCACAGCAGAGAGCTGGCCTGGAAGAGGAACAGCCAGGACTAGAACCCGGTACCCATATGGGATGGCGGCGCCGCAGGCGGAGGATTAACCAAGTGAGCCATGGTGCCGGCCTCTTAAGATTTATTTATTTGAAACATTTATTTATTTGAAAGTCAGAGTTACAGAAAGGCAGAGGCAGAGAGATAAAGACAGTCCATCTGCTGGTTCACTCCGTAAACGGCCACAACAGCCAGAGCTGGGCTGATCTGAAGCCAGGAGCAGGAGCTTCTCCTGGGTCTCCCATGTGGGTGCAGGGCCCAAGGACTTGGACTATTTTTCCTCTGCTTTTCAGGCCATAGCAGAGAACTGGACCGGAAGTGGAGCAGCCAGAACCTGAACCAGCGCCCATATGGGATGCCGGCACTGCAGGCGGCGGCTTTACCCACTGTGCCACAGCACCAGCCCCGGCAGTGCTCTTAATGCTCTGCCCTGTACTTCCCTACACATGTGAGGGCACCTCAGTGATTGGAAAAACAACGAGAAATTAAGTTTAGGGGCTGGCACTTAGCTAAGCGCTTGAGACACCCAGTTTTCTATGTCAGACTGTCTAGGTTCAAAACCTGGCTCTGGTTCCTGACTCCAGCTTCCTGTTAATGAGATGCTAGGAGAGAGGAAGTGACAGCTCCATAAATGGATTCTTGCTACTAACACAGGAGACATGGGTTGAGCTCCTGGCCCTACCCAGCCCGGTCCCCAACTTTTGCAGTCATTTGGGAAGTGAACCAGTAGATGGGTACTCTCTCCCTTTCTCTGTTTCTAAAAAAGGCTTCTTTTGGTATAAAAGATTTTGAAATCCACAGGTGGTTTTCTTCATAACACGTATTTCCAGTGAACTGCTTGATGACCCCTCAAAGTACCCACATTTCGTTCTCCCAAAGCCCAGGAGAAAGACAGCAGCACAGCCACTGCCCAGGGAGGCTGAGGCCCCGGAGGGCAAGCAGCTGCACTAGGCCAGCGTGGCAGGACCGAGCCCTGAGCCTGGTCTGAGCACAGCGGCCTGCCCTCAGTGGGGGGCTACCCAGCACAGAGGCTGACGCCCTGGGGTCCCGCCCGGCTCACCTGTTTATAGATGAGCTCGAAGGCCCCCGTGTCACAGCTGCGGTCCAGCCGCCGGTCGATGACCACGCGCAGGGTGTCTGCTTGCACGCAGGCACAGAGCCGGGACGTGACGGGCGTGGAGGGCGCCATGGAGGGGCTGGCGTTGATCTCGATCAGCCAGGGCTGGAAGTCCTCCCCAAACAGGAAGTCCGCCCCGTAGAGCTCGAAGCTGGCCTTCCGGCACTGCACGGCGTCCTGCGAGGTCTGCAGCGCGTGGATCACGGCAGCCTTCATGCCAGGCACAATGACGCCGGACCAGGCGTCGGGGGCCCCCATGTCCTTCAGATGGGCCTGGAACTTCTGGCTGCACCACATGTTGTCCGTGGGCAGCATTGGGTGCCGGCGGCACGAGTTCTCCAGGTGCTTCTGGATGGAGTTGTTGCACAGGTGCACCGCGCTAGGGCAGGGAGCAGAAAGCTGAGCTAGAACAGTCCAGTGACACAGAGGACCCTACCTGGGAGGGGGAGGGAAGGACCCAGGCCTGTGCCCAGCACACTTCCAGGGTCAGGAACAGTCGGGCCCCTCTGAGGAGCAGCAGCTGGGCACTACACTGAATGCTCTGTGCCTCCTCTCCTTAGCCCTCCCAGTGTTGGAAGACAGAAGACGGGTAAGAGGACGGCCCTGTAGGCACCATCTTCAGCACTGGCCTGTGTGAGGTCTCAGGCGAGTCACTAAGCCTGCGTGCTCCCGGCATCTGTGAAACGGGGTTGTAACAGTAGCCGCTCCGCCAGCTTTTATCAAGAGTGAGAGAGCAGACACACGGTGCTTACATATTTGTGCACACAAAGCCTGCATCACACGTGAAGTGCCCGTCACTGAACTTCACACTGGTGCCTCCATCCTCCAGGTGGGCTCCACTGGGGCTTACAGGGAGGTTTTGCTTGACCAAAGCCACAGTCTGGAAGCTGCAGCCTCTACCCCACAGCAGCACTGCATCTTGCCTCTCTCCTCTCGAACACCTCCTGACCACCCTCTGCCTTGTGAGACGTTTCCTTCCCCGTAGCCCAGGCCAGCTCTCCGTCTGCTAGTTAACTGTACTCCTGTGTTCACTGCTTGTCTGTCTGTCAAACAAAAGCCAGGGTTTTTTTTGTTGTTGTTTTGTTTTTTGTTTTTTGGTTTTTTTTTGACAGGCAGAGTGGACAGTGAGAGACAGAGAAAAAGGTCTTCCTTTGCCTTTGGTTCACCCTCCAATGGCTGCCACGGCCGGCGCACTGCGCTGATCCGAAGGCAGGAGCCAGGTGCTTCTCCTGGTCTCCCATGCAGGTGCAGGGCCCAAGCACTTGGGCCATCCTCCACTGCACTCCCTGGCCACAGCAGAGAGCTGGCCTGGAAGAGGGGCAACCGGGACAGAATCCGGCACCCCGACTGGGACTAGAACCCGGTGTGCCGGTGCCGCTAGGTGGAGGATTAGCCTAGTGAGCCACGGCGCCGGCCAAAAGCCAGTTTCAATACAAAAAAACACACGATAAAAAGTGTTTCCTTCTCCAGTGGCAGCAAGCGGGCTTGAGACCCACACGTGTTGGTTTCATGGGATTCCACAGAATAAAGCCACTCTGTGTCTGCAAGGGTGCTTGGCACCCGGAAGTGTGAGTAAAGGTTGAGTCAATGACAACAGTATGTATCATGGTTGTTACATACGTGTGGGACGAATTCCTAGCTGCAGATTTGCTAGCCCCTAGGGTGTATGCTGGCTTCATTTTATACTGCCAGGAATTCGCAACCAATTTCTGTTCCCAGAAAGACTGTAGAATACCAGGTGTTTGCCCATATCCCACACAACACTGCTTGTTGGTTATGTAGCCTAATTCTGCCTCTCATCCTAAGGAGTGAAGAACCTCAGGCCTCCACACACAGTTTGGATGCTAGCAAGGTACAACCCCAACACACACACTCATAAGCCAGGTGCATTCCTTCACGGTTCAGCCCCCAAAGCAGCCTCATCACCTGCCAGAGACACTGCCGAGGCTGGTACTGTGGCACAGCAGAGGAAGATGTGCCCTGTGACACCAGCGTCCCACCTGAGCAGTGAGACTCAGCTGCTCCACTTCCGATCCAGCTCCTTGCTAATGCAGCTGGGAAAACAGCAGAAGATGGCCCAAGTGCCTGGGCCCCTGTCACCCATGTGGGAGACCAGGATGAAGTTCCAAGCTTCTAGCTATGGCCTGTGCAGCCCCAGCTGTTGCGATCATTTGGAGAATGAGCCAGATAACAGACGATATCTCTCTCTCTCTCTCCTCTTTGTGTCTTTCCCTTTTTCTGTAACTCTGCATTTTAAATAAATAAATATGTGGGTTTTTCCCCCCAAACCCTCGCACATAGGGTCAAATGATTTTCAGGTTTTTTTTTTTATTTATTAATTTATTTATTTGAGAGGTAGAGTCACAGACAGAGAGGGAGAGACAGAGAGAGTCTTCCATCTGCTGGTTCACTCCTCAAATGGCTGCAACAGCCAGAGCTGACCAATTTAAAGCCAGGAGCTTCTTCTGGGCCTACCACCAGGGTGCAGGGAGCCAAGCATTCGGGTCACCTTTCACTGTCCATATGGGATGCTGGCGCCACAGGCGGAGGCTTAGCCCACCACACCTCAGTGCAGGCCCCTTTCTGCTTTATCTTTTTCAGATTTATTTGGTTGTTTGAAAGACTTACAGAGAGAGAAGGAGAGAGAGAGAGAGAGAGAGAGAGAGAGAAATATTCCATCCGCTGTTTCACTCTCCAAATGGCCACAATGACCAGGGCTGGCTCAGGCCGAAGCCAGAAGTCAGGAGCTTCTTCTGGGTCTTCCACGTGGGTACAGGGACCAAGAACTTGGGCCATCTTCCGCTGCTTTCCCAGGCACATTAGCAGGGATCTGGATTGGAAGTGGAACAGTCTGGACTTGAACCAGCACCCATATGGGATGCTGGCACTGCAGGCGGCGGCTTACCCTACTGAGCCACAGCGCTGGCCCCAAGTAAATACTTTTTTAAAAGGCACAGACAAAACTGTGCCTGGTTCCCAGACAAGACTTTGTCTCAAATGTCCACAGCGCACTCAGCAGGACTGCCAAGAACAGGTTGCCTTGAATGAGCCAAGATCAGACCGACAGAGCAATTTCATTTCTAGGAATTTACCCAAAGGCAACAAAAGGAAAAGTCCAAAGACACCTGCACAAGATGCTCCTCACAGCATTGCCTCCAACAGGAATCAATCAACAAAAACTCTCCACGAGAAAAGGAAGTCTATGACAGGGCGTCCAACGACACAAGCCTCCACGGCAGCACGCGGTGAGCCAGGAGGGCCTACACCCTCCCTCCCTCTCTGCACAGCTCAGACATCCTGGTCAGGATGGGGGCCACTCCAGGGAGGCCGAGATACAAGAAGGGCCCTGCAGGGTGCAGGTATCTTGTTCCTTGACCCTGGGTGCCATGGGCGGGACGTTCATTGATGCACTTCACTGATGTGTACGCCCACGACGCGGGTCCTTTTCAAGGAAGTGTATCCTACAGACACTTCAGTTAAGTATTTTTCAAACAGATAAATGGTACCATTTGGTGCTAGGTACCTGGAGAGTCACTGTCTTATTCTGTCTCCATCTGTGTACATTTGAAAGGGTCCCTAAAAGGATGTTTAAAACAGAGAACAAAAACCAAGCTCTGAAATGGAGTGATTTCCAAGTTCTATTGCTAAGAGAAAAGCTGCAAAACAGAAAAGTCTCGTACTAACTGATATGGAAAGATTATAAAGAGTGAAAAAGGGAAGGTGTGGAACAGCGTGCTTTTGTGTGAAGTGCACACACACATGCACACACACGCGCGCACGCACACACACGTGTACACACTCCAAGTGCATGGAAGACAGCATAGAAAGAAACACCTGAAGGTGAACGGCAGTTATCTCCTTCTGCTTGCTTCTTCCCAGTTTTCTGCACTCTGGTTTCTGCTGGGGTCATGAGCATGCATTTTCACGATCTGGTACCAAAAGCCTGTTAGCACACTTCTGGAGCCCCTACTGGAGCACCACCCCAGCTTGCCGGCGCTCCTGTCCGGCTGCCACTTGAACTTGGCTGGGCGGTCACAGTAACGGCCGTACACAGGCTCTGACTACACACGCCTTTCACTCATTCAGTCCTCACACGGAAGGGCTGGCTCCCTAAGGAGAGGCCAGGAGAGCGTGACTCACCTGCCTGAAGTCTTACAGGGAGCAGGACATGTGACCCCATCTGACCCCCTGCGACAGGAATCAGTCACTAAACGTATCTCCACTAGAGAAGGGAAGTCCAAGACAGTCCATCCATCAACAGGAGACGCCACAGCGGCGACACCTGGGTTAGACCTCGTGGGTGTGGCTGCCACCATCCAGGACCCTAACCACTCTGCTACAACCCACAAGGTTGCAGTGGTCAAACCTGAGAGCCCTGAGATGCCAAGCTACTGAGTGCCCGCGTCACCAAAGCCACCTGAAGCGCTAACCTGAACTCTGAGGCAGGGGAGGAGGCGTCTGCTTTTACAGGGAGATGGCTCTGGCCCAGACCCCAGGCTGAGTTTCCAGGGCACTCCTTCATTTAATCCGCACTCCACTGGAAGTGTCGGCATCGTCACAGACGAGGAAACAGCTCAGAGAGGGGACACGTGGAGTGTCACTAACAGGGCTGGGACTTGAGCCCGGGCCGCACGTGGGGAACCTCGCCGCGGGGTGAGGTGCAGGGAGCAAGGGCTGACCCCCACCTCGTCCACGGGACTTGGCTCCTGGCTTCACGATCCAGATGTTGCGATCCCCTTCCATGTCCATCTGGGGTACCACGGCCCGCAGCCGCTGCAGGACGTCCTCACAGCGCTGGACCTGGGTGTCCCGGTGCCTGAGTTCTGCTCCCTCGCTGTGGGGAGATGACGGGACTTGGGCAGGGCTGGGCCTGGGGGCAGGTGGTGGACAGGACAAGGGGAGTCACAGGCCCCCGGCCATGGTCCAGCCAGCCGCAGTCATGCCCTCCCCTCAGAGACCCAGGTGGGTCTCTCCAAGCCTCCCTGCCACCCTCCCACCACTCCCCCACTCTGGCCACCCAGGCTATGGGAATGAGAGAGCTGGGCAGAGTCCATTCCCTTCAAGCTGCTCCCCTACAACGCCACTCCGCAGCTCTGTCACCTCTCTTCTTAGGCCCCCTCTTGGGGGGCCAGCACTGTGGCATAGCAGGTAAAGCCTCTGCCTGCAGTGCCGGCATCCCATATGGGTGCCGGTTCTAGTCCCGGCTGCTCCACTTTGAATCCAGCTCTCTGCTATGGCCTGGGAGAGCAGTGGAAGATGGCCCAAGTCCTTGGATCCCTGCACCCACGTGGGAAAGCCAGAAGAAGCTTCTGGCTCCTGGCTTCAGATCAGTGCATCTCCAGCTGTTGGGGCTAATTAGGGAGAGAACCAGTGGATGGAAGACCTCTCTCTATGAGTGAGTATATGTGTGTGTGTGTGTGTGTGTGTGTGCAACTCTCACTTTCAAATAAATAAATAAATAAATCTTACAAAAAATTGCCTCTTGTAAAATCCAATCATTCTAGCTCCCAATGATGGGCTTGAGTATGTGACAGGCCCTGCACCAAAGGCATTCCACGAGGGCCTTCAAAAAGTTCATGGAAAATGTGTATAATGCAAAAAAAGCATGGATTTCAAAGTTTTCTACACCAAAGTAAACATCATTAATTCCATTTTTTTCATGAACTGTTTGAACTACCCTGGAATTCCCACTAATTCAACAGCCCCGCTGGGGAAGTTCTACTCATTCCATTTTAGCCTGGAGAGTCGAGAGACCTGCCCCAGGCCACCCTGAGCTGAGGCTGAGCCAGGATGGGATGCACTCCCTTCCCCAGCAGACTGGCAGACAGGCGGGCGCCTCCTCAGCACATCTGCTTCTCTCCTGGCCATCAGCTAGCCCCCAGACACAGAGGCTCACGTGGGGACCGTCTGTTTCCTCTCACGGGTCGCACCTCTGGGGGAGCGGGGATGTCGGTAACGCGCTTTATTGCACTCCCATGGCCAAGCACTGCCTGGGGCACCCCTCGGGAGCTCCCGAAAGCTGGTTATGTGAGCGGGCGGCCGGCTCAGCAAGCGCCCTGGCAGGAGCCCACTGAGCAAGCACGCTGAACAGACAAGGACGCAAGGTCAGAGACCCTGTTCCTCACAGGACGGGAAACACCCGCAGCTGAACCCAGTCACCGAGCACCCCACGTGGCTGCCTCACCCAGATTCTCCTTTCTTCCAACAGAGCAGCGAGGAGGCCTCCACTGGGTGCTGACCCATCTAACATCTGAGCCTCGAGCGTCTCCAACCATGCAGAACTCTCTCTCTCTCTCTCTCTCTCTCAATGTTTACTTAAAAGGTAGAGAGAGAGAAAGAAATTATCTTCTGTCTGCTGGTTCATTCCCCACATGCCTGCAACAGTTAGGGTTGGGCAGGCTGAAGCCAGGAGGCCAGAACTCCATACAGGTCTTCCATGTGAGTAAAAACAAGTCAAAAAGTGAAGCCATCCCCTGCAGCCTCCCCGGGGCATTAGCAGGAAGCTGGTTTGGAAGGCTGGGGGCAGGGTCTTGATCCCAAGCACTCTGGTATGGATGTGGGTGTGCTAAGCAGTAGCTTAACTGGCTGTGTCAAGAAGCCTATCTCTGGGGCCGGTGTTGTGGCACAGTGGGTAAAGCCACTGCCTGTGATGCCGGCGTCCTATATGGGCACCAGTTCAAGTCCTGGCTGCTCCACTTCCAATCCAGCTCCCTGCTAATGCATCTGGGTAAGCAGCAGAAGACAGCTCAAGTCCTTGGGCCCCTGCGACCCATGTGAGTGTCTGGAAGAAGCTCCTGGCTCCTGGCTATGGATCAGCTCAACTCCATTTATGGCAATTTGGGGGAGTGAACCAGTGGATAGAAGATCTCTCTCAATCTCTGTTAATTCTGCCTTTCAAATAAATAAATAAATATTTTAAAAATGCCCACCCCCTTTTTTTTTTTTTTTTTTTGATAGGCAGAGTGGACAGTGAGAGAGAGAGAGACAGAGAGAAAGGTCTTCCTTTGCCGTTGGTTCACCCTCCAATGGCTGCCACGACTGGCACGCTGTGGCCGGCGCACCGCGCTGATCCGAAGGCAGGAGCCAGGTGCTTTTCCTGGTCTCCCATGGGGTGCAGGGCCCAAGCACTTGGGCCATCCTCCACTGCACTCCCTGGCCACAGCAGAGAGCTGGCCTGAAAGAGGGGCAACCGGGACAGAATCCGGCGCCCGACCCGGACTAGAACCTGGTGTGCTGGCGCTGGTAGGTGGAGGATTAGCCTAGTGAGCCGCGGCGCTGGCTGCCCACCTCCTTTTTATCTTTTAAAGACTTATCTGCTTATTTCATTTGAAAGGGAGAGTGACACAGAGAGGCAGACAGAATCTCTCATCTACTCCTACAACAGCCAGGGCTGGGCCAGGCCAAAGCCAGGAGACAGGAACTCTATCCGGGTCTCCCACATGGATGACAGAGGCCCAGGCACTTGAGCCATCTTCTGCTGCTCTCCCAAGGCCATTAGCAGGGAGCCAGATTGGAAGCAGAGCAGCCATAGCTAGAACCAGCACTCATATGGGATGCCCACGTTGCAGGCAGCAGCTTAACCCACTATGCCACAAAGCTGGCCCCTCGTTCCCTCTTTTAATGAGGTGACAGTAGCCACTGGGGCAGTGTCGGGAACAGGAACAACCAGATGAAGGGAGCTTGGCAAAGTCCTTCACGCGAAGTCCCAACAAACTCCTCCGTGGTCCCTGGTGTAAAGTACCTGTGATGTGGCGCAGGCAAGTGTCATGTGAAGGGTGAAGGGCAGTTTAGGAAAGGTTCCTCTCTCTTCTTTTTTAAAGATTTTAGTTATTTATCTGAGAGGCAGAGTTACAGAAAGTGAGAGGGCGAGACAGAGAGAAAGGTCTTCCACCTGCTGGTTCACCCTCCCAAATGGCCGCAATGGTTGGGCTGATCCGAAGCCGGGAGCCAGGAGCTTCTTCCAGGTCTCCTATGTGGGATCAGGGGCCCAAGGACCTGCACCACCTGCCACTGCCTTCCCAGGCCACAGCAGAGAACTGGAAAAGAAGTGGAGCAGCCGGGACTAGAACTGGTGCCCACATGGGATGTCGGCGCTTCAGGCTAGAGAGTTAACCCGCTGTGCCACAGCGCTGGCCCCTGTGCTGCTTTTCCAGTACATCAGCAGGGAGGTGGATCCGAAGGGGAGCAGCCGGCACTGGAACTGGTGCTCACTTGGGATGCCGGCATTGCAGGGGGTGGCTTAACCTGCTGCACCACAACACCAACTCCAGCCATATGGTTTTACACTTAGTAAAAAGGAGATAAAAACCTGTGGTTTTTGTGGGGAATTGACCTTGATAAAAGACTGGGTGGTGAGGCACAGATTGATAGATCGATAGATCACTAGAGGCAGGGTGGTGTAGCAGCACACACTGGCTGAATGAAGAGCGCTGAGCCGCTCGGAGCCGTGTGTACCTGCTGTGTGACGCAGGGCTTCACGGGAGTCCCAACTTCTCAGAAGTCCACACACCCCTCTAGAATTTGCCCCTACTCTAGAAATAGAAAGACCGTGTGTGCCTGACACTGCGTGTCCTAGCGTGGCCGTGTAACACTCAGTTTAAGAGGGGCAGCTCTGGCCAGCGCCGCGGCTCAGTAGGCTAATCCTCCGCCTTGCGGCGCTGGCACACCAGGTTCTAGTCCCGGTCGGGGCGCCGGATTCTGTCCCGGTTGCCCCTCTTCCAGGCCAGCTCTCTGCTGTGGCCAGGGAGTACAGTGGAGGATGGCCCAAGTGCTTGGCCCCTGCACCCCATGGGAGACCAGGAGAAGCACCTGGCTCCTGCCATCGGATCAGCGTGGTGCGCCAGCTGCAGCGCGCCAGCCACGGCGGCCATTGGAGGGTGAACCAACGGCAAAAGGAAGACCTTTCTCTCTGTCTCTCTCTCTCACTGTCCACTCTGTCAAAAAAAAAAAAAAACAATAAGAGGGGCAGCTCTGCCTTGTTGGTGGCTAAGGGGTCACCCAGGGGCCATGAACTATTTGCTGCTGATCTCAGTTTGTTGATTATGCTCTTATTCTGCAGGTCACCCTGCCTCGGACCCCAACTGAGTAATCAGATCTGCCCACCCTGCCTGTCAACACCACCCCCCTGCCTGCAGCTGCATGGCCCTGGAGGGGGCACAGGCTTAGCAGGGGCTCGGGAAGTCAGTGTTGGCGAGAATTCTCTGCCTTCAGGGCCCTCCTCCCTGCAGCCTCTCTCCAGCTCCTCTGCCAAGTGAGCTGTCCTTAACACCATGCCAGTCTCATCGCTGATACTTCCTTCCCTGGTCAGGAACCTCTCCCGGGGCCAGCGCTGTGGCGCAGCGGGTAAAGCAGCCACCTGCAGGACTGGCATCCCATGTGAACGCCGCTTCGAGTCCCAGCTGCTCCACTTCCAATCCAGCTCTCTGCTATGGTCTGGGAAAACAGTAGAAGATGGCGCAAGTGCTTGGGCCCCTGCACCTGCATGGAGGACCTGGAAGAAGCTCCTGGCTTCGGATCAACGCAGCTCTGGCCATTGTGGACAATTGGGGAGTGAACCAGTGGATGGAAGACCTCTCTCTCTCTCTCTCTCTCTCTCTCTCTCTGCCTCTCCTTTCTCTGTGTAACTCTGACTTCCAAATAAATAAATAAATCTTTTAAAAGAAGAACCTCTCCCGAAGTGTGTTCCACAAACACTGCCCTTCAACACGCTGATGTGAGGGTGAGCGCCGGGGTCACGTGCGTGGATGGGGTGAGCATCTCGGCACAGGGTTCATCAGAGTGCCTGGGTTTCCTCCCAGTCCTCGCATCCTGCTAGTATGCACCCTAGGGGCTCAAGCAACGGGGTCCCTGCTACTCACATGGGAGACCTGGACTCAATTCCTGGCTCCTGGCAATGAATTCGTGCCCCAGCCACGGCCACTGTGGGCGTTTGGTGAGTGAACCAGCGGGTGGGAGCTCTCTGTGTCACTCTGCCTTTCAAAAACAAACAAACAAAAAAACTTTTTGAAAAACTGTAATTAAAATACAAGCTTGTTATGGCACAAAAAACTTCTGCGAGGCCAATGTTGTGGTGCAGCAGGTTAGCCCGCTGTGACGCCCACATCCCGTATCAGAGTGCTGGTTTTAGTCCCAGCTACTCCACTTCTGGTCCAGCTCCCTGCTGATGTGCCTGGGAAAGCAGTGGATGATAGCCCAAGTACATGAGCCCCTGCCACTCATGCGGGAGACCCAGATGGCGTTGCAGCCTATCCCAGCCCCAGCCACCACAGCGATTTGGGAAGAAAAACCAGCAGAGAGATCTCTGTCTCTCCTCTCTCTTTGTTCCTCTGCTTTTAAAATAAATAAATCTTTGAAAAGAAATTTTTGATATCTATGCATACGAATGGTCGCGAGAAAGTTCATGAAAAATGTATGTAACGACTACGGGCAGCGTCATGGAAAGAACTTGTTTGTCGTGAACTTCGTCAACACCAATCATATGCATGATGTCAAAAACCTTTTTGCACCAAAATAAACTTTGTAAAAAAGAATTTGTTTCATTATTTATTATTTGAAAGCCTGTAACTCCATCCAGGTCTCCCACAAGGGTGACAGGGGCTCAAGCCCTTGGGCCATCTTCTGCTGCTTTCCCAGGCACATTAGCAGGGGGCTGGATCGGAAACAGAGTGGCTGAGGCTCGAACTGGCACTCATATGGGATTAATGGCAACGCAGGCAGCAGCTCAACCCGCTGCACCAGAATGCCCACCCCTACATTTATTTTTTAATTCCATTTATTTATTTGAAATTCAGAGTTACACAGAGAAAAAAGGAGAGGCAGAGAGAGAGAGAGAGACAGAGAGAGAGGTCTTCCATCCGATGGTTCACTCCCCAACTGACCGCAATGGTCAGAGCTGTGCCCATCCAAAGCCAGGAGCCAGGAGCTTCCTCCGGGTCTCCCATGCAGGTGCAAGGGCCCACGGATTTGGGCCATCTTCTACTGCTTTCCCAGGCCATAGCAGAGAGCTGGATCAGAAGTGGAGCAGCCGGAACTAGAACTGGCGCCCATATGGGATGCTGGCACTGCAGGCGGTGGCTTTACCTGCTACACCACAGTGCCAGCCTCTTAATGCCATTTTTTCCGTGAAGTTTTTGAAGTATCTTTGTATGTACAGGGCACACAGCGTACCCATCTCTCTCGAGTGTGTACACTAATAGTTCTAGAAGTTTCTGTGTTAAGGAAGTCGTTTGACTTCGTGTAACCTGATTTCTTCCAAACTTGACTGAGCACAAAGGCCCTTTTCTCACCAAGTTTTGCACTTCCCATAGAATCTGCAGCCTGTGCGCCCTTCTATGGGAAACAGCCTCCAGGATTAGACCGATGAGTTCAGTTCCTGTTCTGGGAGTGGATTCCATGAGCCCATGCTGAAAACACACTGCAGGTTATCCTGTTGATCCACCCTTGAGGCAGAGATTATTTGAAAACTACATTTTCCATTTGAGAAAAGCGGAGCTCACGTTCCTGAGCTGCAGAGTTCGGAAGCTGCAAAGCCAGGACCTGAACTCAGGAGCGCCTGGCCACACAGCCCACGACCCTTGGAACTGCACTATGCCAAAACCGGGGAGAGGGGCTTGCGCCCCATCATGGCAGCAGCGGGGGCCTTCAGGGTTCCTGAGCAGCAGAGTGGCTGACAGAGCTGGGGGCTTTAGGAGGCGGAGGGCCCTCACCAGACGCCAGGCCCGCCCACACCCGACTGCAGGTACTCACTGGACCACCTGGTAGTAGCGCTGCAGGAAGAAGGACCAGCCCTCGGGGCTCCAGCACAGCGGGGCCCCCACATCCTTGTCGATGTCCAGGTGGGCCAGGCTGCTAAGGTGCTCTTCGCATGCACTCAGGGCCTCGTCCACGAACTCGGGGGACACAACGAGCGGCTTCTTCTGTTTCTTAGGTTGTTTGTTTCCTGCAGAGATGGGGAGCTGCGTCACTATTCTGCATCGCAGCAGGCAACCTGGCACAGCCACAGCGCCCACTGCCCCTAGGCCTATCACCTACCTGAGGCGTCCCCCTGCAAACAGCCTCCTGCTGCCCTGGGACTTGTCACTCACCGGAGACCTCCTCACTTGCTCCGGGGTGTGTCTGTCCCAGGCCCCATGGCTCACTGGAGGATCCCTGTTAAACACCCCAGGGCCTCCATGGCCCGTGGATCCCCAGCACACACCTGTGGCCTCTCCACCTCCGGACCTCTCCTACACTTGGCCCTGTCTAAAACGCACCTGGGAACCCCAGCCCAGGTGAATCCAGGTTTGCACGAACCCCTCCCTCAGGTCTGACGTGACTTCCGAGGGTCTAACGTGTAACAGAAATCTGGGCCACTTGCAATGTCCTAATAGACTCCGACAACCCTCGTTCTCGGCAGCAGTTACCAACCACGTGTGCAAAGCTACCACGTGTGAGGCCGACGCACTCCCAAACACTGGCAGTGCCCTGAAAATCCTGAGGCTCGCCAAGCCCCGCAGCCTGACCTATTCCTGAGCCCACCACCACGGAAGCTGCAGCCAGGGGCGTCTGGCCGCATGAGGGCCCTGGGCCCCATCACGGTACATACAATCTTCCTTGCACCCGACACACCCAGGAGACAGCAGCCGGGAAGCCTCCCCCTGGAAAGCAAGGGTCGCCCCCTCCCCAGAGAGCTGCTTCAGCGCCGACAGACCCCGGATTCCAGAATGGAGGCGCCCACATGTGGATGCGAAGTCCAGGAGAGAAAGGGCACGTGACGCGGGGCCAGCAGTGACGGTGGGTCCTCGGGAAACCCTTCCACTCCTAGCTGCCATTCCTTATACTCAGCACGAGGGGTCCTCCAGCCACTGTAAACCTCCTGGCTTCACTGCTGCCCCCAGGCTCCCTCTCAGCCTCACCCCTGTAAGGTGCCATGCCTCTGGAGGGCTGAATGAGGCTAGGAGGACGGGTGTGTGGTGACTGGGACTGAGAATGCACGAGGAGACGGACTGGAGGATGACAGGTGGTGGGTAGGAAGAGGCTGACACGGGGTAGGCAGATGGTGGAAGGAGAGCTAGGAGAGTGGGGAGCAGGCAGACGGAAGAGGAATCTCTGATGGCGGGGAGGTGATGAGGACATCAGCAGGCAGTGGACGGGACAGGGGATGGATGGATGGATGGGTAGGGAAATGGACGGACAAGTGGATAGATGGACAAGGTGGTGGGAAGCTGTGTCAGATGGGCACAGATGTGGAGACGAATGGCAGGGTAAGTGGGCAGGGGAGTGGAGGCAACGCAGTACCCACCTGCGGCCTCTTCCTCTTCGGCCTGGGCAGAGTATGACTTCCATTCGGACTTCACCACCAGCTTGAGAACGTTGCGGGCAGCTGTCAGCCAGAAGTCCTCTGCTCCCGGGGCAGGGAATACCCTGCTCAGCCCGCAGGCTTGACGCCTGTTCTGGTTCCGGAACCTCACCATCACTTGCCCCACTTTGGACCTGGAACCTGACCCCACCTTTCTGACTCTACAACCTGGTTTGGATCCTGGATCCTGTTTCGGCTGAAGAACCAGGCCAAGGACCTGAGCTGACCTGGCCCACAACTGCCTTCAGAACCCGAGTTCTCCCGTTCCGGATCCACTTTTGATAATTCCTCTGGACCGAGGACCAGAACCTAGTTTAGACTGGGAACACAATTTAAACCCTGGATCTAAATTCTGACGGGAATACAACATAGCCTGGAGTTGGAACGTATTCTCCCTTAGAAACCCAAACTGACAACTTCTTTTAGACCCTGATTCAGCCAATGGAAGTGACACAGGTCAATCAATAGAATGACTTTTAGGACCTGCTCCAGAATACAACTAAGCTACTCTGGCTTGTTTAGGAGAGGGTTGGTGATGCTGGAAGACTCACTGCGGGAGGGCCCGGTGGGGAGATGAGAAAAGGGACGCAGGAGATCTGCCAGGCAGACGAGGGCAGGGAGAGGCCCCGGCTCTCCAACACGAGCCGAGCTTTAGCGCTGCCCTGGGCCAGAGGGTGCAGGCACAGCCATGGGAGTCTCCTTACCTATGAAGGCTTTCTTGTCATCCTCGGCCCCCAGACGGTAGCAGCGTGGGAAGAAGGAGTCAGCATCGGCCTCATCAAACCAGGGCAAGTTGCGCAGATTGAGACAGAGGCCCACCTATGGAGTCAGCTGCTGAGGGGCAGGGCGGGACTTGCCCGGAGAGCTCCGCGGGACTGACACGTGTCCAGGACGTGCAGAGGCCCCACCGGGACACTCTCAGAGCTGTCACCTGCCTTAACGTGCTCACAGCTCTCTCCAGATGCCTGAGTCACCCCCTGCGCACATGACGCTCCTCACCAGTCCCGTCCACTCTCACATCCCCAACCACTGGCCACCTTTAGGAATCCTACAACGACAGACCCCACTTACAAAGCTCTTCGGCTCCGGGTCACAACCCTAGAAGGCGGGCCTTACTGGCACCCTTATTTAAAGATAAAGTGGGGCTGAGAGAGGCCACATCGTTGCTAAACGGCCCGGGGAGGCGGAACAGATCCACCAGCCTGACGTGCTCTGCTTAGGAGGTGCGGACCCTCTTGCTCACAGACTCCAGACCTGGTGTTTGCTCTGGCTCCAGACCCCACGAGAATCCTGGAGCCCATCTCCTCACTATGGCTACACGTGCAAGGCCCCCGGCAGGGGCTGGATCTGAACTGAGGCCGGTCTGCCTCTGGATCCTGAATTGTGCACCTCGCCCTCTCTGGAGAACTCTCCTGCTGACGAGCAGCAGGGAGCACGGCTGTCAGCCCAAGGGCCGGGGTCAGAGGCCGCCCCGCGCCCCTCCCAGGGAGCCCACCTTGGTGGTGAAGGCGCCAGCCCGGGCATAGTGGTTTATGATCTGATCCTTGGAGAGGAAGCGATAGTCCAGCACGTCCCGCCGAGTCGTCCAGATGAAGTAGGGTGTCTCGTTGCGAACCATGCGAGACTAAACCGGGAGGAGATGGGGACGCTGGTGTGGGTGGCTCGGGCTAGGGTGGCCTCTTCCCATCCTGCACACACAGCAGCGCGGAGAACAGAGGGGAGACGGTGCTGCCACACCCCCGCCCGCGTGCAAGGAAACACACCCCTGCTCGAGGTCACACGCTTGGTGAGCAGAAAACAGGCCAGTGGTCGGCCCCTCTTGGTGCCCCTAAGCACTGACCAGGCTGCACAACTGAACGCCACACCTTGTTCCGGCCCCTGGCCATCAGTGGCCTGCCCAGTGCAGGAAGGTGAGTCCAGGCTGACGGGCACACAGCGGGTGGCACTCTCGCACGGACCCCACACTTCCCAGGTCATCTCAGCTGCTCCTCACCACGACCCTGGCAGGGGGCTCAGTACTCATTTCACAGACGAAGGAGCAGTGAGAGACTTGCCCGAAGGCTCACAGGTTGAGCGTACACAATTCGCAGCACACAGCGAAATCCCTGACACAGCGAAGGGGCAGTTTCACGTAGCTCAGCGTCCCAAGCAGTGGCACCAGGATAAGCACCCCTGTCCCCGTGACATCCACATAACCCAGAAGGCCACAGTAGCCTCCTGCAGAACTGCCTGAGCCACTCACTGCAGCCTGCACACGCCAAGGGCCGATGATGGAGAGGAACAGTAGAGCGGTTCTGGGTTTTTTTATTCCTTCGGGTGGCAAAGGAGGAGAGACAGCGCTCCCACCAGCTAGTTCACCCCCACAAATGCCCAGAAGCCAGGAACTCAGTCCAGGCCTCCCACATGGGTGGCAAGGAACCAAACATCCGAGTCATTTCCTGCTGCTTCCAGGGTGTACACTACCAAGCATCTGGAACTGCGAGGGCAGGACTCAAGTCAGCTCCGATGGGATGCGGGTGTCCCAAATGACTTCACTACTGTGCCCGTGTCCACCCCAAGCTATGGAAGGAGGCATTAGCACGTGTGGTGACCACGCCAGCTTCTGACGCCCCCCACAGAGTCCCTCACCACTCTGCAGGCCTGCCCAGTCTTTCCACAAGAAATCGGTTCTCCTGACCAATGGGAAACTGAGGCCCAGAGAAGGAAAGGACTTTCCCGAGAAGACCCTGCTGGACCCTGGGGCTCTTGCCCTCATGAGACAGCCCCTGCCAGTCCCCTGCTCCATCCTGGCCCCCAGCCCTCACCATTAAGGCGTGTGTCCCCTCTGCGTCAGCACATTCCAGAAAACTTTCGAAGCTGAAGGGCGGTGGTGGTTGGAACTCTTCATCTGCATCGTCATCTTCTGTGGGTGCAGAGCTGATGAGGCCCCTGTCCTTGCCTCAAGACCCATCAGGCCTCAGCCCCAGGACCGGGGGACCCAAAGGAAAGGGACCCACGGGGGTGGGGGCAGCCTGCGGAAGGGGAGGGGGCTCCACTCACCATCTTCAGGGGTGTCACTGTCCCCCACCCCTGAGCTATCCAGATCCTTGTGGGGTGGCAGCAGCGTGCTGGCGTTCATGTGATGGACCATCCTCTTCTCCACCCAGCCCCTCTGGCGCAAAAGACAGCGGATCACCGGGTAGTGGCCCTGGATCATAAAGACCTTCTTCTGCTGTAAGGGGAGCAGGGACGATTTGCTCAGGAAGCGCTGCCTGAGCGCCAGACAATGGCGGGGCAATGGCGGGCCGGGCGTGCGGTCTCTGCCTTCAAGACACTCTTAGGGTGCAGCAGGAGACAGACATGGCTCATCAACAGGGAGAGACGCTCACAAACACATGTAGCGGTGACAGTCCACCTGTGCTGCCCATCCATCACGTGATGGGCAGTGCTTTCAGGGCACTGCTGACAGCATCGTGCACTTCTGTTAGAGAGTTACCCCCATGTTAGCAGCTATGAAACAAACGCAGATTGAAGGGCTCACACAGTGGTCACGTGGAAGAGCCGCCTGGCTCCAGAAACTGCAGACCGAATGGGGACCCCAAGGAGCCCAACAACAGGGGGGGACTGCGGTCTGGCGCTGTGGCGCAGCAGGCTAAGCCACCAAAACGCTGGCATTCCAAACGAGGTGGGGGCCTTCTCTGTTTCTCACTCTGCCTTTCAAATAAAATAGATCCTAACAAAATGGAATACAAGTGGACTGCAAAAAGTTCATGGAAAATGGAATTAAAAGGCAAGTTTATTTTGGTGCAAGATTCCTTGAAATCCACACATAGTTTTTCATAATGCGCATTTCCCATGAGCCTTGGAAAGACCCCTTGTACACGGTCAGGGAGGCTGGCAGGGAGCCCTGGGCCGGGCTGACGGCACTTGCTCAGGCCTCACTGCTGCAGAGAGCTCAGCGGGAGCTGAAAGGACGCCAGGGCGGGCAGACCCTGGGAGGTGGAGGAGACGGTGGCTGGGCTGCAGGGGGCTCTGCTGGCCGGGAACGCACTTCAGCTTGTACTGAGAGCAGCATGAAGAGGGGCCGCAGGCCATCCAAGTACAGACAGAGGGACCAAGGGGAGGCAGCCCAGTTAGAAAGCTGCGTGGTTTACACGGGAGAGCAATGACAGCACCAAGGAAGGAGGGTGGGTAGGGGTTAGTGTTAGGACCCAGTGGGGTACGCTGCCACTTGTGACATCAGCACCCTGTAACGGACAGCCAGCTCAAGTTCTGATAGTTCTTTTTTTAATCTTTTTTTTTTTTTTTTTTTTGACAGAGTGGACAGTGAGAGAGAGAGAGAGACAGAGAGAAAGGTCTTCCTTCACCGTTGGTTTACCCTCCAATGGCCGCCGCGGCCAGCGTGCTGTGGCCAGCGCACCATGCTGATCCGAAGGCAGGAGCCAGGTGCTTCTCCTGGTCTCCCATGGGGTGCAGGGCCCAAGCACTTGGGCCATCCTCCACTGCCTTAGCCTGCTGCGCCACAGCACCAGACCGCAGTCCCCCCCTGTTGTTGGGCTCCTTGGGGTCCCCATTCAGTCTGCAGAGCTGGCCTGGAAGAGGGGCAACTGGGACAGGATCCAGCGCCCTGACCGGGACTAGAACCCGGTGTGCCGGCGCTGCAAGGCGGAGGATTAGCCTATTGAGCCGCAGCGCCAGCTGATAGTTCTTTTAAAAAAAAAAAAGCAAGTGGCTGGTTACAGCAGGGATGGGCGACGGTGTGAGAGTTGAGATCCACATTGGAAACAGAGACCACGGGGAGGAGATGTGTGCGTGAACAGAGAAAAGATCAGTCTGGCTTGAGCACCTCAGCCATGGGCAAGGCCAGGGGCTGGGAACAGCGGACTTGGACAGGGGCATCACACTTGGTGTGGGATGGAGTGAAACAACAGCTTCTCTGGGTGGAGAAGGAGGGATCTGGATCTGCCAGGCTGGGAGGCAAAGGGCACGGAGGTGCAGGTCGAGTACCGGGTTCCCAGCCCCCGGGAGGCAGCTCCCAGCTCCTTGTTTCGGTCTGGCCCAGCACTGGCTATTGTACACATCTGGGGAGTGAGTTAGCACATGGAAGATCTCTTTCTCTCTGTCACTGTCTTTCAAATAAATTTTAAAAGCTAAAAAAAAGGCCAGCGCCGCGGCTCAATAGGCTAATCCTCCACCTGCGGCGCCAGCACACCAGGTTCTAGTCCCGGTCGGGGTGCCGGATTCTGTCCTGGTTTCTCCTCTTCCAGTCCAGCTCTCTGCTGTGGCCCGGGAAGGCAGTGGAGGATGGCCCTAGTCCTTGGGCCCTGCACCCGCATGGGAGACCAGGAGAAGCACCTGGCTCCTGACTTCAGTGGCCTTAGCGGCCACTGTGTGTGTGTGTGTGTGAACCAACAGAAAAAGGAAGACCTTCCTCTCTCACACACTGTCCACTCTGCCTGTCAAAAAATAAAGTAAAATAAAATAAAAATTAAAAAAGCTAAAAAAAAAAAAAAGGCAACTGAAAAGCAGCAACCTGGGACAAACAGCAGGAGTGTGCATGCGGACGGCAGATGGCCAAGGGGCCAGGGTGGGCAGCAAAGTGTGGAGGGCCTGAAAGGGGCTATTGGATTCGACTTCCTGGAGAGGTCACCGGCAGCCTCCACGTCTTCCCATGGGAGGGGGAGTTCAGGGAACCAGAGCAGAGGCAGCGGAAGGGGGAACGTGCACCTGCTCACAGACCAGCCCACCAAGTTTGGCCTCGTGGAGGTAGCTGCATCCTGTACTGAACACAGTACAGGGAGGCAGGCTGAGCCACCTCCCGGGCCCTAAGTCCCCCACCAACCCTCTGACCTTGACAGCCCTCTCCACGTGGAGTTTGGCATTTTTGAGCCGGCCCATGTGGTGAGATGCCTTGGAGACTCCTCCCCAGAGGGAACCTGCAGAAAGAGGCGGAGTAGGGTAGGCTGGGGCTGGGGCGTAGCCTGAGGCCCCGTCTTCCTCTTCCCTCCGCCCCAGTGTCTGCGTCCTCGCGGCCGCCACGGGCTCACCGTCCCGCAGCGGGGCATCATCCAGGGTCGGAGCGTGCACGGGGCCGAGGGGGCGGGGACCTGCGGCGCTCGGGGTGTGGGGGCCCTGGGCAAGCTTCTCGAAGGCCTGATCGAGAGGGCGCGCAGGGGCGGGGCTGCCGGCCTGCCGTTCGCCGCCGCCTGCGCAGTCCCCCTCCGGCCTGGCGGAGGCGGGCCCAAGCCATGGCAGCCTCCGCGGCGGTGGCAGCCTCCTGAGCTGCCGCTGGGAGTGGCTCGCCCAGGGCCAAGGGGCGGCGGAACTGATGCGGGGCTCAGGCAGCTGCAGCTCCCGTGGCCAACCGCCCCACGAGCCGCCCTCTGGGCGGTACCAGGCGGTGGAGCCCAGGCGTGCGGGCCCCAGCTCCCCCGCGCACAGAAGCAGGGCCGCGCCAGGGCCCTGCATGAGCCCTTGCCGCCTCCCTCGGCGCGCCACAGCCTCTGCGAGCTCAGCCCTTGTTTCCAGCCCCGCCCTTTGTTCCCTGGAAACCATTCTCTGGGCACAGAATGTGGGTGGCGAGTTCGGGACCTGTCGCCCTCCCCCCTTCCTCTAGGGGGCTGGGCTCAGGGCCTCTGCTGCCCCACACACCCCTGCTAAACGGGAGCTGAGGGTTGGCAGAGCTGCACGCTGTTCTGTCGGTTAATTCTGGCACGCACACTTGTGTGCCTGGGGCCCAGGGGCCTGGGTCGTTCTGCAGATGATACCCGACCTCAAGGAGTTTAAAGCCCAACGTGGGAAAACAAAAAAAGTAAAGGGATGGAAGGGTAAGGAACAAGGCACGCACCGAAACCAGGAAAGAGGCAGGTGCTAGGCGTGGCCATCAAAGATGCTCTCAAAATGTGCCGGAAGCTAGGAGTCACCAGGGCAAACCCAGAGGAGCAGCATTCCAGGCAACAGCCCTGGGGAGGCCAGATGGGACCCACAGGGCCTGCAAGGGGCTGTGAAGGTAAGGACTGGGGACAAAGCCAGGGCAGCTGATGGGGCCGGGGGGGGGGGGGGGACGGACAAAGTGCAGCTCGCAGCTCCACTCCCAGTGACTTGGAAACAGGAAAATAAAAACAAAACCCAGATCACCATTTGGGTCGACTGAGGGAGAAATTAAGAGCAGAAACTAGTTACCCCAGGCCAAGATCATTAAGTAACCTTTTTGGAGACCAGAGGCAAAGCATCACAGGGGAGAGATAAGGCTGCAAGATGTTACGTAAGTTGCCTCCAATTAGAGAGGCAACACTGGAACCCAGCCTCGGAGGGCTGTCTGCTGCTCAGCACGGCACCCAAGGGCAGCACGGCAAGCGCAGTCCGGGGAAGGGGACACAGGTCCGAGTGGCTAGCTTTGTCGGCCACAGGATGCAGCTGCTCTGCAGGGAACTTGGGTCCCCCACCTACCTGCCTGGCAGACTAACCAGAGACCACCTTCCAACACCTGCCCCCCACCCCTGCGCAGGCTGGTGACTGGGCTTGCCAAGAGGCAGGGCCCCTGGGAGAGGCCTGGCAATCACCCAGTGTACTCTCATCCGGCTACAAACCTGGTTTTAGGGACTTTGGACCTTGGGAGAGAGATCTGTGAAAAATGAGGGTTCTGCCTGGTTCGAACCGACAATGCCCTCTTGTGAGAGCTGCCGAGTGCCCAGCTGCCATACCCCCGCGGCCATCCAGCTCCACTGGGAGCACCTTGCCCATTCACTGCAAAGCTAGAATGCAGCCATGTGCCTCATTCAGCAAGCCAGGGGACAGGGAGGTCACAGAGGTAGTGTCACAAAGGACAGCTGCTTGAGGTGCCCCCACCCCAGCCCTTCCTCCCCTTCCACCACCTTGTCCTCTCCACGCCCTTGGAGAGCTCGGCGCCAAGGCCACCTCGGAAGCTTTCCCGACACCCTCTCCTAAGACGATGCCTCTCCCAGGGCCCCCTGACTTCCAACCCTAAGTCTGTTTACACACGCAGCTCAGCAGATCCCCGACTCTTCCAGGCGGGACAGCATCCTCCACGGCCGGCCCGCTGGGCCTGGGCCTGGGCCGGGGGAATGCTCACGCACACCTCTGCGGCAGGGGCCGCTCAGCCACTTCCCCGCTCTACAGAAACTGAGGCCCCCAGTACGAGAAACCCGTTCACATCCAGAACCAAGTCAGGACTCAGACGGCTCCGCTTGTTTTGCTCCACCCAGCAGTTCTGTGAGGACAGAACGTCCGTTCTGTGCTGCTCATCTGCGCTCCCGAGCATTTGACACGGCACCGGGGTACTAAAACACAATTGTAAACTTCCCATCACTGAAATAAACAGCTGCGTGTGGAGTGGCTGCTTCAGCAGACAGACGTCTACCCTCTCGCCACGGCTGACAGACTCAGGTCTCACGGACGCTCGTTTTTCTCATCTGTAAATGGGATCATTTTAGCCCACATGAGATCATCCGGTGACAGCAGGCAGCTCCCGACAGTCAACGAGAGCAGTTTCAGAAACAGACGGAGCCCGGCCCACCCCGGAGGAGCTCTCTGGGCTGGGGCCACTGGCAGGGATCACAGCAGGACCAATCACAAGACTGCGCCTGCTCCGAGGGGCAGAAAGCCAGGCTGCCCCTCCTCCGACACACACACACACACAGCACAGACCTCATGCAGCCCCAAAGGGGCAAGAAGAGACTTTAATTAGGGGAGGGAGGTCCACCAGAATCAGGAGAGAAGACAGCGCGCGTGGGAGCAGAGGAGCCAGAGCAGGCACGAGGCCTGGCCAGGCAGCGCTGCAGGACTCACCTCTACCTTGAGCGCGGGCACTGCTCTGACAGACAAGGCCAAAGGGTGGCCCCTCGCAGCTGGGAGGCCACCGGTGGCCACTGCAGCCAAAGGTGCCTGGCTGTTGGGCTGCAGCTTCTAGCTATGGCTGGTGGTCACCCATTCAGCCCTTGTCCCCAGCCAGTGCTGGCTGGCCATCCTTAGGCAGAGCTTAGGAAGCTGGCAGAGGGTCCCCACCACTTCTGCTTGGCCCAAGGAGGCTCAGGAGTTAGAGGGCCAGGGAGAGGAACTGGAGTTGAAACCTTCCTTGCTCCCCGCCTGGGGTGGCACTGGGAGGAAGAACGGTCGCCTTCGGCTCCAGGCCTGCCCAGACCCACGGCGACCAATAAGGTACAATCACTGGGACCAGTCACGGCCACTGGAGGTGGAGGTTGTTTTTTTTTAAAAAAAAAAAAAAAAGACAAAAAGGTTACAGTCTCCTACAAGCACAGAGTTTAAATTTCAAGACGTTAAAAAAAAAACCTGTCCCGGCCCAGGGGACTGAGCATCAGAAGCCAGCCTGACCAGGCACGTGTGGCCTTGGGGCACGTCCAGTGCTGCTTTCTTGCCCAGCTAGCAAGCACACATACCACCCCCTCCCGCACCTAATGCCTGCCCCAGCTCCCCGCAGTTGCCGCCGCCGCCGCCGCCACCGCCGCTCTGGGGAGTGAGTCCAGGACGCCTTCGTAGACACACGCAGAGACACGGGGGAGTCTGAGGGGGAAGGTCGCGAGATCCAGCCCGATGCTTTAAAACTGTCAAGAGAACCAAGAGGCAGTGAATGGTGGTTACCATGGTGTCCTGGCGCACCTGTTGTGGGGCTAGGGGCAGTTCTGAGAGCCGCCACAGGGCTGAGACCAAAGGGTGCGGCTGGGTCCCAGGACACCCTACAGGCCCGCTTTTTGCTAATTCAGCCAGCATTCAGCAGTGACCTGTGGGAACACAGGCCCCAAACCCTGCACCTGACCAGGCAGCGAGACAACAGTGATGAGGCGCCTCCACGGTTTCCTGGGGTTGCACCCTGGAGGCGGCACAAGAGATCTGGCAGCGTCTTGCCTGGTGACCTGAGGCTGCCTTCTCACCTCGGGGCTTCACAGAAAAGTCCCCCGAGGACCCAAGGGAAAAGAGGCCCAAGAGCTGGTACTCTGTCAAGCTGTAGGTCACCCTCCAAGAGCTGGTGCTCTGTCAAGCTGTAGGCCACCCTCCAAGAGCTGGTACTCTGTCCCAAGCTGCGAGCCACCCTCCAACCATGGCAGGCCCTGGAAATAAAGTCTTCTGTCCTCAAGTACCTGTGGATAATACCCATAATAGTCCTGGACATTTTATAGACTGGAGTCTACAATGTGCCCCCGGCTGATCCAGATCCAAGGGAGCACTGTTTGGCACGAGCAGTGTTTACCAGAATATGACGAGCGGCCAACCTCGAACACTGGGGTGCCAGACACAAATGAGGCTCCTGAACTGTTTGGAGGGAGGGCTGCGTGGCTCTCCAGGCGAGGCCCTGTGCATCGAGCGCACACCACACAGGTACTGCCCGCTAGACCCCGCCCTGCCCCGGCCTCCTGACCCGGCCAGATGCTGCGAGGCCATGTGAGCTCTTTGAGGCAGACCTAGCTTCATGTTCTGGCTCCTCCGCTGACTGTTATGGGTCCTTGGGAAGTGACTTCACTCCCAGAGCCCTGGTTCACTCAGCTGCAGAATGGTGGCAACCCTGGGTTCAAAGACTGACTATGAAGTCAGACATGTACACAGGCTTTCTTAGCTACAAAACTCTATGGAAACCGTAGCTGTCGTAAATAACTCAATGTTGAACAAGCAGGCCAACCACTAACTTGGGACAGGAGCCATTCTCCCTCACAGCTGCCTCTCGAGGCCTGCGGGTCCTCTGTGAGCTTGCTCCACACAAGGTGCCTGTCTCCTTCTGTACTCTGCTACCCTGAAAGGCCAACGTTAATGAACAGCCAAGGGAGCTGCAGCCTAGCGGAGAGGTGCAGCGGCCTGCCCAAGTGGGCCGAGGAGCAGATCACACCCAGGTGGTCTGCGGCTGCGCGCTGGCCACCTGCCCCGGGGCCGCGGGAGTAGTTTCCATTTTTAGGAATGAATCCCCGCTGCTGCTGGGCCAGCTCTGCGTGCAGTGATCGGAATAAACACCGAGTTACCATCTAAGGAGCACAGTCAACTCTGAGTGGAACATGTCAACAACCCGAAGACTGTTTAGAAGAAAGAAAAAAAAACAGGAAGGCACATCCCGAACGTCTGAACAAGACCAACAGTGTCCTCAGCTCCTCCGTGCAAACACTGGGGCTGCAGGCCCTTGGGTCAGGAAAGGCGCGGACAACTCCAGCAGGATCTGAACGGCCCAAGTCACGAGAGCGATGAAAACCAGGCCAAGGAAGTCAGACTTTAAGCCTCTGAGAGACGCTGGGAGGAAATATTTAGTCTACAGCGTGACCGACTGTGCAGAGCCCTGGGAAATCCTCGGGGCTGCACTGCTTCGTCTGGGGTGTGACCTGGAACAGGAGAGCACTCTGCAGACACCTGCCGTGTGTGCATGCCCACGGAGACTGACAGGCACTGCACACACCCCCACCAGCCTCACACGGGTGCCCACCGCGCCCGGCGAACCTGCCACGCACCGCCAATTCTAGAGCTCACTCACCGGGGAACGGGCTGTTGGCAGCACTCTGCCAGCAGGCGCTCACTTCCCCACACCCCCACAGCTCCTTCCCACGTGCCAGGAAACCAGGAAAAGCCCCACAGCTCCTTCCCACGTGCCAGGAAACCAGGAAAAGCCTACTTACGTTCTTGAGGAACTCCTCCGCCACGATGCGCGCGCGGGCGTTGACCGACAGCTTCATCTCGCTGATCTCCTTGTCGATCTCCTCCATGAAGTGGATCACAAAGTCTACCAACTTGTGCTTGTACATCTGCTCTGTGTGGAAGTTGGTGATCAGGAAACTGATGTCGTATCCCTGGGGAGCAGGACAAGGGAGAGACTGAATGCCGGGCGCCTGGCTGCCCATCCTCGACTTGATCCACAAGCCCTGGACGACAGGGATCTGCTCACAGGCAGCAGCCGTCAGCTCCGGCGGGTGCCTGTCCTGGATCCAACGACTGAACGCGGCTGACGACACAGCGTCCAGACATCTCCGGAAGGCTCTGTGCGGCACAGACATCTTTGCATTCAGAATGAGT